ACGGGTGCTGATCTACTTCAATCCGGTGAGTCGAGACAAGTCAATTCCAATGAATTTCGCCTTGTAAAATTACCAACTTTCTGGCACAAGCATCCGAAACTCTGGTTTGCTCAATTAGAGAGCGAATTTCTAGTATATAGAATCCGTTCAGATGAAATTAAATTCAGCTCGATTCTTAGACACTTGGATGAAAAGGCGATTTTAACTGTTTCCGACATTGTTGAAAATGCTCCTGAAAGAGATAAATATATCACTTTAAAGACTGCTCTAATTAATCGTTTTACTGATTCCGAAGAAAAACGTCTTAGACAGCTTTTAGCAGGAACTGAACTTAACGACAAGAAGCCTTTAGATTTATTACGCGAGATTAAACAGCTTTCAGGCGGAACCATAGCAGATAATATCTTACATTCTATTTGGCTACAAAGATTACCTCTTAGAATACAAGCTACACTTGCAGTTGTCAAGGATGTTCCATTAATCAAGTTAGCTGAACTGGCAGATAAAATTTTAGAACGTGACAATAATCAGCTGCCATTTAGCCAATCGGTTTCTGAAGTTGCTAAAACTGTAACGCCTAATGTAGCTGAGCTAGAACGAAGAATTTCAGCTCTTGAATTTAAACGCTCGCGTAGCAAGTCTCGGTCTAATTTTCACCGAAAGAAGAATTTTAGATCCAAGTCAAGGGATGTAGCTGATAAATCTAACTCGGCAATTTGTTATTATCATGGGAAATTGGGCGCAAAAGCTATTAAATGCACTATACCTTGTTCTATGTCCAAAACTTTAACCCTCACTGATAAACAGGAAAACTAAGTTTGCCGTTGGATGTCAAGGCGTCAGACAACGGGTCTATTAATAATCGCCTCATTTTCTCTAACAAGTCTTCTGGATTACATTTTTTAGTGGATACAGGAACAGATATTTCGCTTATTCCAAGAAGATTTTGCCCAAAGTCGTCACCAACCTCTGTTAAACTGTTTGCTGCTAATGGATCTGTAATAAATACTTATGGTTATAAGTTGTTAACTTTAAATCTTGGTCTGCGAAGAGCTTTTAGATGGAAATTTTGCATTGCAGACGTGTCACATCCTATTTTAGGTGCAGATTTTCTTCTCAGTCATTTTGGCTTACTTATAGACGTAAGAAATAAACGTCTTATTGACAATATTACGGGTTTATCACGCCGGGGTCACCAATTTGTAGTGCCTTAATTCTTTATGAATGACTTTCACAGCTTTTGGAATAAAGATTTTATTCAAAGAATTTTACATTCCAGTAATTCTAAACCAGCCACAATCAATAATGTCTGTGTTGTTATATCTTTATTATATATATATTTTTGTTGCTAAGAAACAGTTTCGAGAGAAATATTAATTTTGACAAAGAATTTGCCAATAAAATAAGTGAATCAAGAAAGTGAATTTAAATGTGTAAAAACGATAAATATAGTTGACAGTCCGATTTTGCGTTCGCGCCTTTTTGTATTACTACACCATAACAGTTGCTCAATTCACAGATTCATTACCACATCGAAAGGGGCCTACAAATGACGGCGTCCAATCAGAGACGATCACCCCTCATGTCTAGACTATCATTATTATAGGGACTCTATATAGACCTAATATAATATTAACATTCTTGAGGCTTCCACGGGTGCTTTCTGTATAAAGGTTATGCGTTTCGCGGGTTTCCTCCGTGTCCAGATCCATTCTTGAGATGCCAACGTTTCATGAACCTTGCAGTCCACTTCATCAGGGCGAGGGGCAGCCTGATACTGAGCTATTCCTCCAGGCCGTTCCTTTTTATATTACACTGCTTGTTGGGGTGGTGGGGATGGGCGGAGAGGGGGAAGGGGTTGTGGAGAAAGAGGCCCTCAGAAAAACACCCAAAAAACCAGAAATTTGGTTCCGTTAGGGGCTCCGCACAATAAAAGAAACAGGGAACTGAGAACAGAGAATAAGAATTTCAACCTATCAGAAATCATGTATTGTGGAATACATAGTGTATAGTCAAAGAAACAACAGATCGGATTGGCAGGATATTAAACAAACACAATATCCGAACTATCTTCAAACCATCCAAAAAGATAGGACAAATCTTAAGAAATCCTAAAGATCAAAAGACCTCCACTCAGTTCCGCAGGAGTATACAAAATACCTTGTTCCTGTGGGAAAGTATACATCGGAGAAACCAGGAGAATGGTCAACCTACGGATCAAAGAACACCAACGTGATGTCAGACTAAAACATACCAATCGGCATTATCAGAACACAACATCGAAACAGGACATCAAATACTGTTTGACAAAACGACCACAATAGTCAACAGTACATCATACTTTCCAAGAAAGTATAGAGAAGCCATAGAGATACAAAAACACCCTAACAATTTAAATAGAGATAATGGCTACAAAATAAAAAAAATATGAAAGACAATTCTCCCGGTTATTGAAGACCGACCAATTCCATCACCTCTTTCCCCTCCCACAACCCCTTCCCCCCCTCCGCCCATCTCCATCACCCCAACAAGCAGCGTAATATAAAAAGGAACGGCCTGAAGGAACAGCTCAGTATCAGGCTGCTCCTCGCCCTGGTGAAGTGGACTGCAAAGTTCACGAAACGTTGGCATCTCAAGAATGGATCTAGACACGGAGGAAACCCGCGAAACGCATAACCTTTATAATATATAATATTTTAGTTCTTTACCTAATACTTTCTTTAAAAATGGATTTTCGGCCGATCACATTTTGTAACCTCACCACTGCACCACACACACTGCACTGCTCATGTTTTATTTTATTCTTACATTTCTCGCTCAGTCACGAAAAACTGAATTTGATGATTAACCACTATCACAGAAATTTAGGTTTAGAGAATCGAGATTGAAATCCGAGTTCTGGGTATCAATCATGAAACTTTTTTCCTAAGATGAAAAGTGAAAAGTAAAAAATTTCTCCATTAACTTCAATGGTTAAAATTTTCACTTTTGACTTTCCATCCTAGGGATAAAGTTTCATGATTGATACTCTGATATTGGAGATCAGACTTGAGATCTGAAGAACGACTATGACTACGTTTATACGTACCGATAAAACCGTTTTAGTAAAAACCGTTTTTTTACTAAAACGGTTTTATCGGTGCATGTAAACGTAATCTATGAATTCGGGCCTCAAGGTTTTTCTCTGGTGAAACTTTTCTAGAATAGGGGCCCAATTTCGACCACGATTAGTCCATCTTTGATACGTCATATAAAACTATATAAAATTATTAAACAAATAACGTGAGTGTCAGATGAATAAAACACTAATATAAAACTTAAGTAGAAGTGTGTCAGTTGAATATAATAACTTAAAATATAAAAATGTTAAATTAGCTACAAGGTTGAATTTCATTGAAACGTCCATTAATCAATTTAAAATTGTAGATGGTATGACATATTGATCTATTGAAATTCTTGGTGATAATTTCTTTTTAACTCGTTAATTGGTAGATGTATTATGGTTGTTACAATTGATAATATTATTGATCGTTGTGTAACATAAAATTTCCAGACTATGCATTATCAACGGCAGGTCATTATAATAAATAATTACAAGTGAAAAAAGGCCAAAAAATGCAGAGAATGAAGATTTATTTTATCAAGAGATTTAAAATTTTGTAATATACATGAAACAAGATTCTTTGGGCCTGGTCTTTTTATTTATTTTACTAATATATACTCTTTGTCGTTTTACTAATATGTAATACCCTATGCCCAAAAATTACATTTTATTTATAGGAATTGTTTTGTTAATAACTTTTCAATGAATAATGAGCGACGGGAAAAGTTGATGACTTTGACCTCCTTGAGGGTTAAAATCAATGTCAAGGTTATTTAAAAATCATTTGGAGCTGGCTGTGTAAAGTTAAACTTTTATTATAAACACTTCGTGTATAAATTATAAAATAAATAATATATTGCGCATCTTTGCAATTGTAATGATTTATCAAAATCACTGAAAAATAACAATTATATTTGTATAACTTGTATAATATATGTATGTTTAAAAAATTATAGTTTTTATTTTAAAATATGCCAGACAGTAACAAGTTTCCTTGGATTTTGAAGCACTGAGAACCAATGCAATCTTTCCGTCGAACCTCTCACACCTTTTCCAAGAGCCACTTTACCGATAAAAGTATCGGTAGACCTTTTGAACGAACTGACAGAATCTTCACTGTCACTAACGTCGGCGGTATTGGCAGGTAATCCTTCTGGTAAAACCTAAAATTAATGATAGAAAAATATGATTTTGTCATATCACTGTTTTTACAAAAGTTATTTTTATTGTATGATCATTTATTATATAATGATATTAACACTTTGGCGGCCGAACTCACGTATACGTTGAGGTAACGATTATCGGCCGGACTCACATGTGCGTGAGTTCACCAGTTCACTGAGCCAGCGATTATGGGCCGACTTGACGTATACGTGAGTTCATTGAGTCAGCGCTTAAGGCGATGCTAAAGCCGATAATAGTGACATCTTTGATCTATTTTCTTACATTATATATCATTCTGTCTTACTCAAACGCATATATATGTCCTTATCTAACATATGTCAGCACCATCTATCGCAAGATTACGCAACTACTACTACACGGAATTTCGGCTCTGTTGTCATTCCCAGTCTTCGCAAAGCATTCGTATACACGTATTTTCTACACGGTGAAAATAATTTTCTTCTAGACCTTCAATCTTAGTTCTATAAACTCGGTATCGTTCGTTCCAGTAATGTGACCTCCGTTGCACGCTTATTTTTAACATATGGACTCTAAAACTCTTATATCAAGCAAATATATACCTGAGATGATAGCTGTACGAGCCAAAAGTGAATTTTTAACGAATTTAAAATTTTTTTTCGATTTTCTCATGAAATCCAGTGCAACTGAGATCCTGTTTGTGCGTACTTTAATTTATGTAATAATACTTTTGCAATTCGTACATTCAACACGGAGATTTTTCAATGGAAATATGGGTAAAACAGAAGACTTTAGCATCGCCTTAAGCATGGTGGAAATACATAAGGTGAGTCATTGCACATAATGGCAAAAGGGGGGGATATGGAATATTAATCAATCACTTGCCCCATTTTTTATGCGTGAAATTCAAACGCGCACCATTGAAAGTAAAAACATTTTTCATTAAAATAACATAAATATATTATTCAAATTAAAATAAAGTGTAAGTACAATCAAATAACCTTAATACCTTACTCAAACTGAACTCCGAACTGAAATTGTGTTAGGGTTAGGTTAGGTTATCTCTAGTGACACCATGTCGGCCATTTTTGATTTTCAAGAAATGAGGCAAATGTGATTGGCTATCTGCTCCCTTTTACTTTCGGGCTACTGTGCATCCACGTAAGGGAATAACTCACCTTACGTATTTCCACGGGTGGCACCCAGTTGGACACGGCTCAATTGGACACGAGCCATTCACAGCGCTTGAGACTACAAAGCTCCTAAGCACCGGTCGCTGTGATTGGTGGTGTCCAATCGAGACGTGGTCAATCGGGATCACCCCATTTCCACCATGGTCTTAAATACGGTCTTAAGAAGTCACGAACCAGAGGGCTGCATCAGCGTCTTAAGACATTACTTAAGACGGTCTTGAAATAAGAATCGACTATGAATACCGGCCTATGCATTGAAGATTGAGATTGAGATTAAAGATTGAAGATTGAAATTTCATCAATGAGGACAAAGAAATTTTGGCACCTTTTGTTCTGATTGGTCAAACTTTAATCTTTGAATCCTTATTCTCATTCTTCAATGCGTAGTCTAATTCCGGCCTTAAAGTGCTTCTACATGATTCGCAAATCGTAAAATGTAGCTCGCAAACGCAGACGCAGATTTGCGTTTGTTTTTCATTGCATGCAGTTGATTTTCGTCTGTGTGGGTCTTGCGTGCGGTGATCGTCATTCTGCGTTTGCAAACGGGGTGATCCCGATTGATCACGGCTCGATTGGACGCCACCAATCACAGCGACCGGTACTTAGGAGCTTTGTAGTCTCAAGCGCTGTGAGTGGCTCGTGTCCAATTGAGTCGTGTCTAACTGGGTGCCACCATTTGCAAACTACACTTTGCGATTTGCGAATTATGTAGAAGCACCATTATCGACCGAGTTCACGTATATGTACATACGTAAGTTGATTAATGCCTGTGTCACGCTACGTATTGGAGATTGAGGATTGCGAATTACGAATTAGAATTCGACCAATCAAGTAGTTTTAATTTTAATCCGTTTCATTCTAATTGGATGAATTCTAATCCTCAATTCGCAATCCTCAGTCTCCAATGCGTAGTGTGACACGGGCATTAAGCCTGTTATATGCAATAGAATTGCAAGTCATAAGCCATAAAAAATTAACCAATCACAGTCGAATGTGAGAAAAATAATCGACTACGACTGGTTGATATTTTACGGCTTACGGACCTATTATGTAACAGACCTTATTGATTATTAGCTGACATTGATTGTTGCAAAAGATATAAATGATATATATATACAGGGTGTTTCTAAATTAAATGGCAAAACTTCGAGAGCGTATAGAAGAGTAAAAAACTAAGAAAAAAAGTCCTATAGACATATGCTCGTTTTTGCTCTGTTTCAGAGAAAATCGAAAAAAAATGTTTACATTTCTTGCCATATCTAGCACCGACATATTTGATTACATTTCGATCGGCTAATCGATCACGAGCAGGTAGAACGGATCAAATTGAATCGAAAAATCTTATATTTTTGTTAGGTTGCACATTAGTTAACGAGATATTAACGTTTAAAGATAGCTGAATAAGCGCGTCCGGCCAGCCTACTCTGCTGCCGAATATACAACCTACCATCCTCACCGATCGCACGGCGCGCAGGCCGCTAGGAGTGGGAACTGCTACTAAACGTCTTCAAACGACTCGAACGGCACGCCTAGCAAGCCATCCCCACTCCCAGCGGCCCGCGCGCCATGCGATCGGTGGGGACGGTAGGTAAGTTGTATATTCGGCAGCAGTAGGCCGGCCGGATGCGCTTATTCGACTATCTTTAAACGTTAATATCTCGTTAACTATTGCGCAACCTACAAAATGGTATAAGATTTTTCGATTCAATTCGGTCGGTTCTACCTGCTCGTGATCGATTAGCCGATAATTTTCAAAGACCCTGTATATATACATATATACAGGGTGTCCGGAAAGTGTGGAAACGGTCGAATATCTCGAGAAATACACATCGGATC